ACAATACGGATAAAAAAATTCCCTTGAGGCATTTTGAGGCCTTGTGGCTCACCTGAATTCCTGACCAGTCACACATGGTCCCTGGCTGAGTGTTAACAAGGCATTTAGTGCAAGTAGGATTTGTAGCATTTGTAGTGATGCTACAGCAGGGGGCGAAAACTGGGTAAGATCCTACCTGTTCTGGTACTGTACATGTGTATGTACTGTACCTCATTTTCAATCGATCAAAACAAAGAAATGAAAGTTGTCCAGAAAAAAGCTGGTGTAATCTGATCAATGTCATAACTGTTAAAAAGAATTTTGGGGAGCCACTATTACCATTATATGTCGGTTCAAAAATTACAATTCTATCGTTCATTGACTTGCGACTGGAAAACTAACCCCACTGTTCCACTACATGTACATCTTTTTGAACACTTATTAAAAAAAAATCCATTTACGTACCAGCATCAATATGGTAAAACACAGTGTCCTATAAAGAAATCCTAAAATGTTTTCAAACATCAAAGTATTCTGTTATTTTTCCCACATATTTTGGGAAGAAGTTGAATGGATTGGACTCATACCAGTCTTTTAATAATCATCAACTTGAAAATCCTTTTGGCAAAAGTTCTTTATTAATGATATGAAAGCGCTGGTATTAATCTTTTAGACAATTACCAGATTGCAAAAGACCTGGACGCTACCATGCAAGTACCAGTACAAACGTGCAAGGGATCGCCCTCTTGGTAAAACATAATTCAGGCAAAAGTGATACAGTCTAAGTTGTATGTCCTTTTTTACCCTAGTTTGAAATAATTTACACTTTATGTGCACATGTACACATATAAACATGTATTTGACATCATTAATTTTTATCAATTGTTATAAATACCACGTTTTAGGATATGACAAAAAGAAAATAAAGGTATAATGCACTTGGGAAAATGGGTAATTCCCATCTTATACATATGTAAATGTACTAGATGGATGTCTGAAAAACTTAGACGCTCATAACCATTTGTAACTTATAAAATTCACATGAAGAAAAATAGCCTTTTCGTGTCACTTTACTTCTACCTGTATGTGTACATATCCTGGTCCATGTTCAAGTGCACAGACAAGAATTTTTCCCTATAAAATCTGATATTCCTAAAACACAATGCAATACCACCAACGTACAGTGTAAACATACACATAAATCTGAAATGAATGTAGTATTGTTATAGGGCAGAATACAGCATTGGGCATTTTATGCACAAAGCCCAAGCATTTTGTTTGCAACTGCGATAAGTGGCATCATGTCTATCACGTCTACCGGAGCTGGTACATGTATGCAGGAATAACATGCTGGTTCTTTATAGAGGATAAATCTCACCTACATGTACATGTATTTCATGACCATGCATGGAGACACGGCAAACAATGGAATTTCACCACATTATACATGTAATTGTTAAGAAATACAGAAAAATGTGACCCCCAGTTCTGGTAAAAGTTTGGCTACAAATCTTTAAACACTCTTAGTTTGACACTAAATATCTGCAGAGTTTAGAACCATTTCAGAGCTGCCCTGCTGCTTCATGTTCCGCTAGTTCCAGCACAAAATTGATATATTTTGAATACTTTATGACCACTGATTCATCTCTCTCTCACATAAGATTTTTCTGAAAAGACCTACATGTACATGTAATACAAATGTAAAAGTGAAAACAGAAAAGCTACCTATAAAAAGTA